TCCTGATGAATGCTTCCAAGTGTTCACAGTGGAAAAATATTTCTAATGAAGAATTTAAGGCTTTTGAGATCAATGTTATCGTAATCTGACAATGATGACATTTTTTGTGCGCTATCTGCTTCTCGTTTCATCCCAAATAAAATTTCGACTTTACTGATGCGACGAGCGCTTCATATATAAAAAATATGGCACAAAGCGCCCACGCTTTTTTCACAATTATAGGTACTAGTATTTTTCGTTCGTTGTTCTAAGTTCATTTAAAAAAAATATTTTTAACTTTTCAGTTGGATGTTCTTTAAAAGCGTGTTTTTTAGTTTTTGAAACTATATTTATTTCTCAATTTTTAGTTTCGTATGCTAAAAGAGCATATTTTTCAGTCTTTTTAAACTATATTTATTTTATCTTAACTTTGGGATCAATCAGCCGTATATTGTTTAGAAAAATGACCATTGATATTTTTCGATTCCGGAGAGGGAGCCTGAAAATAAGCTACCAAGCCCAAGGCAGCAGGCGCGCAAGGGTTACAAATAAGGCATGTAAAGTGAGTTCGAATTATATCAAGGAGGTTATGTACAGCGCCATCTGCCCGTCAATAGATCAAGAATTAATGTCTATAATTCTATCAAATACAGATCCCGAGCTTGAGAGTTACAAACAAACAAACATACATACATACTGGTGAAGCTAATAAAAGCATGTTGAGAAACACGTTCAATACGTCGGTTCCATTTTCCATCCTGCAATGTGTATAAGCTTCGATTCAGATTTTTAAATGACAGTGCATTTTCTATAAAGTGAATTCAATGCAACATGAAATTTCCACAATTGATGTAATATGAAAGTTAATGATTCGATACTAACTTTTATGGTTGTATCTGCAAAAAAAATCAAATGATACCGCGATGAGTTTGTTTGATACTGATATGATGCGTATTCTGAATCAGACGGTCAGATCTACAAAAAAGTATAATGATACATATATGGAGGTTTCTTCTTAGTACTTCAAAAAATGAGATATTTTTTTACCTACTCCAACTATAAATTATAACGACACTCATTCAAAGAAACAGTTTGTTTGATTTTCACCAAACAATTTAACAAATATGCAACTCATGTTTCGCTATACAATAGCTTTTTCGGGAATGTCATTACTAACTAAAATCACTGAAAGGGAGGTAAATAATTCAATAAATTACGATTTTGCAGTTTTCCACAAACATTGTTATACATAATTCCTCCACATACCCTTACCAGCATAAATTAACTGCATTCAATAGTATGATTCACAGACTATTGAATATTCCACTGTCGGATAGTAATTTCAAGAGAAAGAGCTGAGTTTAATCAAACAAATCGCTGTCAACAACGATTACAAAATATATATTATTGATTCCATTCTTTCCAAAAAAATGCAAAAACGATCCATGGACCAGGTCTACCCAAAGTGAAGAAACGATAACGTCCGCTATAGGCCATTGTCATATCTTAGTGAACCCACCAATAATATCGTTCGTTTTTTGAAAAAAGAGTGCTTGGATGTGGCTTTCAGAACGAATAATAGTTCAAATAAGTTTATCGTGAACAATAAAGACGAAACTTTACTTTTGAATATATCAGGACTGTATAAGTTGAATTGTGGCACTTGTCCAAAACTTCATATTGGCCAAACAGGAAGAACGTTTTCCCAATGAATTGAATATCATAGAAGTAGATTTAAGAATTCGGGTGATTTACTGAATAACCAAATAGAATGAAATAACTCCCCGTAACTGAATAATTTTTCAAATGTGGTAACTGGTACATAAGCTCAGATCATTTCATTCATAAGGTACATTACAAAATCAGGTTCACATTTAACATTATTTGGTTAGGTAAAATCCAGGTACTTGAAATTTAGGTACTTAAAATTGTAAAAACATATACAGTGCATTTCTTTAATGCCCCCCCTTAATTTTTTGAATGGGTCAACTCAAAAAATTGAAATCTGGGATAATGAAATTAATGCATAAACACTTCATTTCAAAGTGAAATTAACAGATGAANTTTTGTCGTTTTTATAAACAAAAAATAAGTTAACAAATCTTATCGGGTTGTTGGAATTGCCTTATGGCAATTTAGGTGAAGATATCAACTTCATATTCTAGGGTTGTGAAGTATTTGGTGCCCAGTCGCTAACTTGAAAGTTTCATCTGTCAATTTCACTTCAAAATAAAGTATTCATGCAATAATTTCATTATTCCAAATTTCAATTTTTTGAGTTGACCCGTTCAAATAATAAAAGAGGGGGGGACATTAAAGAAATACATTGTATAAAGCATTAAATATGTGAATTTCAGTTATTAAAGACACACCTGAAGAAGCTATTATATAGCGAAACACATGTCGCGTTTTTGTGAAACTACTTAGTGAAAATGTCACTATGAAGTACTCCTTGAGTACGTTATGGATTTTCATCAAGATTCGGCAAATTCCATCAAATATCATAATAATCCTTATTCTTCCAGAGAGCTGATGATGTTCTGGTGACAATTCCAAATGGAAAAATAAAAGGAAGAAAGGAATATTCTCTCAGAGGAATATCTTTTTTTGCTTTTCAACAAATACCGTTTGCCAAACCGCCCGTGGGGAATTTACGATTCCAGGTAAAGTAATTGAGTCCACATTTTCTTCAATAAAGTTGCTATATCCTCAATTCTCCTGCACCAGAAGACATTATTTTGAGGATATTTGAATATACTTACTTTCATTCAGATGATTACAAAAAATAGACTTTCAACTTTGATTTGACTACCAAGATGATGTGTTCCACCTTTCTTCCAGTTCAGTTTGCAGGAGGTTTGAACACAAGTCCGCTACAGTCTGGAAGGCTTCATTAGACTTCCACACAGTTTCAAAACTTTTGTTGAAAGTGGATCCAGAACTTTTGAAGAGATTCTTATGAGTATATCGAGTGGTCCAACGAAAAGTATGCACCTTGCTTTTCTCCTTTTTTTGTAACTTAACGCAAAAATGCTCGGACAGGTCAATTTTGCTTTTGAAGGGGACACATTTTAGATGTATTTTTCTACCTGTGCCTTCAACCTCCTAGCGAGGGTGAGTAACAACCCTAAAATTTTAAATAGAAAGTGGGTTCGAGTGATATATCATTTGAAAGGGCACATAATTCTCTTTCCAACGATACCTTGTATTTGCTTACTTATAAAAAAAGCAAGAACATTAACTCGATATTTTTGGTGTTAATGAAATGCGGAAAAAACGGCATTTTTATCACTACTACATTCCTCAATTTCTCTCGTGCGTTTTTTGGTTCAAATAACAACAGCAGATGAGTGTATAAAAAGAATTTAGGCAAACGTTCATTGATTCAGTTCGGTTGCTTTTGAAATTATTTCAACTTTACTGTAAAAATGGTTTATTCTATTCCTGAACGAGTTGAAATTGTTAAACTTTATTATCAACATAATAGTTGTGCTAGACTTACTGCTCGCCTCTTTAATAACAGTCATCCCGGGAACCCCCCTCAAAAGCGAAATTGACCTGTCCGAGCATTTTTGCATTTAGTTCAAAAAATGGAGAAAAGCAAGGTGCGTACTTTTCGTTGAACCTCTCTGTATACTAGGCTCACCTGTAACTTAACTGGAAGGATACTGAGGCAAAAATAATTAAAAAAATATGAAAGCCAAGCATGATAATTCATTTTCATTTTATATTTCCTTTCATTCACTTTGAGACCTTTTTATACAATGGAAGTTATAACCTGTCAGATTTTCAAAAAACATTATCAATCAGATTCAAATAAAGTTGATGGAGTTCACGGCAGATCCCCAAAAAGCTGAAACAAACGACCTTATTGGGGTAATGGTAGCTTTGCTAATATAGCAATAGAACAGGAAGCTACAACTCAGCGTATCTTTTGATATTATGAAAGTTGTTAAACCTCAATAAGGATTATCTCATAAATGGCAAGCCTGAAGATGATCCTGAAAAGCGTAAAGTGAACAGAGAAAATAGGCACTTGTTACGCCATAGCACTTGGCGAATCATGTGACATTGTTGATGATGAATAAATGTCTATTTTCGTAAGATTTCTTGATATTGAGTGTCAAATTTTTAGGAAAGAGTTGCTAGCAATATTGCCGTTGAAAGTCATTGATGAGTTTATTACTGAATCTAACATTAGTTATGATAAAATGATGTCGCTTTCAACTGACGGGACCCAGCAATGATTGGCAAAGAAAAAGGTGTAGTACAGAGAATCAGGGATACAAACTTAGGTCTAATATCGTATCAGGGCACAATTCACTGGCGGCCCTTTGTGGAAAGCTTAGTACTACACTGAAAGAAGTGATGAACAGCTTGGTCAAGTTGATCAATTTTATGAGGTCTCATTCTGCTCTTTAGCACCGACATTTCAAGGAGTTTCTTTCTGAATGTGATGCGTATTCTGACTTACTGCAACACAACAATGTCCATTGGCTAAGTAAAGGTCAAGTTATTGAATGTTTCTGGCTGATAAAAGAAGAAGTAACCTCCTTCCTGCAAAACTTAGATACGGAGGAAGCCAGAAAGCACTTGAGTTCATAACAAACAAGTGTAATATGCTGGTCGTGGCTTTTCTAAAAGATACACAGAGTTACAAGGAATTAAATGTTTCCAAAATTTAATTGTTTGCCTCTCATTACTATGTGACGTAGTTGAGCGAATTTTGGCCAAATTTTCTCTACGAATTCAAATTGAACCGACGCGCTGCCGAAACAGCCCGAAACATTTGGCAATGTAGTGTAATGAATCTGAAGCCGGCCCTGACCGATGTCCCAGTCAACAAACGCATGTCGCATCGCGAAAGAGCGGAAAGGATGCGGATGAGTCCCGAAATCCGCAGAGGGATCCGGAACGTTCGTTGACGATATAAAAAAGGTCCCTCTCCGTCCCGAGGGGTAGTCTGTACTTAGAAAGTGAATCGTGCGTTTAAGGAAAGGAATCTAATCGTGAAGATAAATTAAGCGTTAGTTTGGCTGTACAATCCCTAGCGCCGCCGTGGTTTATCACCGAAGTTGCGGAACTCGTGGGTCCGTACAAAATCATGAAAAAGATTAATGACCTCGTCTACCGAATCCATAAGCCACCTCGAGGAAAGCCTAGTGTCGTCCATTTCAATAGACTGGCTCCTTATGCTGGAAATCACGACCAAGTGAAGATAAATTAAGCGTTAGTTACTAAGTGTTGTATATAAATTAGTTGTGATAGTGAAATATTGTTAAAAATAAATTTGATTGAGACAGTTAATTCTTTAATTCGTTACAGTAGTTTTAATGAACACATTGTTCGGCGTTGGTTTGCGAAATTTCATTTCGGAGATTTTAGACTCGAAGATGAACTCTGAAGTGGTCGACCTACTAATCGAAGACGAGGATTTGAGGATCCAAAAAAGATCACGGTTAAAGTATGGTGGTTTGCGGCTGGTGTGACGTCAACACAAGACCTCTGTGTCCACAAGTTTCACAAATTACCCAACATACTTTCCAGACCTCTCGCCAACCGACTACCATTTTTTCAAGCACTCCAAAACTTTCTCACCAGTAGAATCTTTGCTAATCAGAGCAAGACAGAAACAGCCTTCATCGACTTCATCGAATCAAGAGCATACACTTCTTTATGGTGATGAATTTTTGTTACGTTGGCAAAATTGCACTGATTGAAAAGTCGCCTATTTCGATCAAATTGAATGAGTATTCACTTATATATAACAGTTTAAAGTAGACTCATAAAAACGGACAAAACTTTCGAAACAACCTATACTTCGGATGTTGTAAATAAAAATGAACTTTACTTTTTTGCTAGCGTGCTTGCGAACATTTTCGTCACAATTTTTTTTCAATATTGTGCCATATGAGTAAAATTTTAATCATTTGCAGTTTCTAATATACCTACTACATCTAATAATTTGAAATGTTCTTACTGACGATGTGTTTCAGGATCCACAACCTGTAGAAAACTGGAAGGGTACTCTGGATGCGTCAAAAAACAAACAAATATTGTGCTTCCAGCAAAGTAATATGTATAAAATCGTCAATATGAGTGCCGTGGAATATGAAGACTGTTTATACCTCAACGTTTACACACCATTAGTAAGTCTGATGCCTGTACACTTTCTTATTCGCACAATTAAATAAATCAACCTGTCCCATACCGTCTAGTGTTTCACATAAAAATTTATCAAAAACAAAGTGACTAATTGTGGATCTGTAATTCATGAAACCATGTGGATGATCGAAAATAATATGTATGATTGACAGGTGAATGCGGTTGTATACATTTATGTATGTATGGATGTATGTATGTTTGTGTCTCTGACATGCCTAAACGACTGAACGGATTTAGATGAAACTTTACATGAATACACCTTATACATAAGAGTAACATATTGGCTACAATTTACAAAGATTTTGTGTAATTTCGGTTATAATATAACGATAAGTATTGAGTAAGTCGGAAAAATTCTTACTCCCTGAGAGCTTTCTTGGTGGGCGCTGACTGTACCGTTGAAGTTACATGCAGATAATGTACCGTAAGATTGTTTATCTTAAATAGTGTTATGTGATAGCCACTATATGTAAAATACTGAGCGATGAATACAATTAAATTGGATACTTTGTTACAATGCACATTTTAAAATATCTGCTGAATTCTTATAAAAATTGATGCTGGTGTCGTTTTAATTTTTTAATATAGATGAATTTTGTCTTCTGCACCAAGTAATTTGGACTAATCGTCTGAAAGCTATCACGATAAAATTAACTTGACACAACGGAGTAAGCCAATACGCGTCGCGTCTACTGTTAGACTACGGGGGACGATGCGTGGGGGTAGAAGGGCGGTCTAAGCAATGAAGCGTCATCGCCGAGAACGCGACCCGAATGCGGGCAGACGCTTGAAGGCAGACGTCGTTGACGGTTGTGTCAGTTTTGCGATTTTTTTTATAGTAAACATAATTTGAGTCTCGAAGTTATTCTTTACTTAGTACAGTTGGCATAGTTTTTAGTCACTGTATTTTTAAAATTGAAATATAAGTTTGTTTAAAATGGTATATCACGAAACTTGATGTGACAAACCAAATTCTACGCGGGCGGAGCCACGGGCAATATAACTTTACGATCCCATGCTTTATGATGAATTTAACAAACTACCGTCTTTGGAATAAAATTAAAGAGAATTTCTAGTGGATTTAATAATTCATTCAAGCAGTCCTTCATCAGAAATGAATGTATTTCATCAGGACCTGAAGTTAATTTGTTTTTGAGTTCTTCACCAGCTTCTAATATTTCAATTTCAGTGATGGACTCCACGCTAATAATCATTGAGAAATGATGATCAGAGCTGAAAACAAAGTTATCATCTTCCGTTTTAAATAAGGAGTACACGCCATCAAAGAAACTAGAAATAACATTAACAATTTAAAAAAATGAGAAATACAATTTTCTATGTTTATTTACCACTTTCATTCATAACTAATATTTTTACTGTATTTCATTCTATTAGGACATTTTCAAACAATTACAATAAACTGCTGTTTGAAAATGTCCTCAAATAGGACGAAACTACAGTATAGAAGAAGTAACCGGTATAGTGCATAGTTAAAGCTGTCGGCGATCTCAAAAGCCAAAAAAACCAATACAGAGAAATAAAGCCGCTGCCAACGAGTCCACGTGGACTGTAGACTTGTCGGTTCGTATTCGATGATCTTTACTGAGTTTTATGATTGGCTGAAGAGTTATAAAATTAAATTTGAAGTCATGTTACGGTGACGAATAGAATGCGAGGATGCTCATAAGAGACGTGTTGTCAATGTTCAGTTCAGGAACTGATCGCGATTCGAAAGTTGAAATTCGATATTGGTGCAGTTATAATTACTTGAAATTTTTATTATCTGTTTAAAATGTGGCGTCCTTGGACAAGTACTAATGAGTAGTAATAACGAGTGTGAAANAAAAGAAAGTGAATTTTCATTCAGTAAGCTTTTCACAACTTCAGTAGAAGCTTATATCAGTTTTTCTAGAAAGTCGAATTCAACATTGCTTCAAATTTTTCAGGTATCACATTCATCGTATAATCAAGGGGAATTTTCTTCATTCAATTTAATTTTCAATGATGTGTTCACAAGTTCGCTTTCTAATAAGGTTTTCTTTAAGGAAAGACAAAATACAAACATCCAAGTGTTCACAGTGGAAAAATATTTCTAATGAAGAATTTAAGGCTTTTGAGATCAATGTTATCGTAATCTGACAATGATGACATTTTTTGTGCGCTATCTGCTTCTCGTTCCATCCCAAATAAAATTTCGACTTTACTGATGCGACGAGCGCTTCATATAATGTTGTTTTAATTATTTAATATAGATAAACTTTGTCTTTTGCACCAAGTAATTTGGACTAATCGTCTGAAAGTTATCACGATAAAATTAACTTGACACAACGGAGTAAGCCAATACGTGTCGCGTCTACTGTAAGACTACGGGGGACGATGCTCGGGGGTAGAAGGGCGGTCTAAGCAATGAAGCGTCATCGCCGAGAATGCGACTCGAATACGGGCAAACGCGTGAAGGCAGACGTCGTTGACGGTTGTGTTAGTTTTGCGAATTTCTTAATAGGAAACACAATTTGAGTCTCGAAGTTATTCATTACTTAGTACAGTTGGCATAGTTTTCAGTTACTGTATTTTAAAAATTGAAATATAAGTTTGTTTAAAATGGTCTATCACGAAACTTAATGGGACAAACCAAATTCTGCACGGGCGAAGCCGCGGGCAATATAACTTTACGATCCCGCGCTTTATGATGAATTTAACAAACTACCGTCTTTGGAATAAGATTAAAGAGAATGTCTAGTGGATGTAATAATACATTCAAGCAGTCCTTTATCAGAAATGAAGGTATTTTATCAAGACCTGAAGTCAGGGCCGGCACCCCCTGTTTTTTCGACTTGGGAAAAAGTTGGGAAATTTTGGGCCGTGAAGAAAATGGAAAAACAATAGTAAAAAATTAATAAAAATAAAAAAAATAAAAATGAGAGAAAAGAAAGGTAGATAAAATGATCTTCNGACACAGTTACGAAAGGGTGGACTGATGATTCGAAAATGTGTACGCCTAACATGCCTGCAAACAAAGGATCGCGACAAATCATTGTGCATTGCGGTGGAAGTAGTGGATGGTTCCGAATTTTTTGAAATTATGTGGAACAAAACTTGAGGACAGCAATGTTGACTATCATAAGAACATGGAAGCTAATATTTTTGAGGAATGGTTTGGAAACACATTGATCCCAAATTTAGATGTGAATAATGTAATAGTCTTGACAACGCTTTTTGTCATTCGCGACAGCTCACCAAAGAACCAAACGAAAATTCGAGAAAAGATTAAATTCAAAGTTTTTTAATGGATAACAATTTGTATTTTGAAGATAACTACTCCAAAAACCAACTACTTGAGGTTCTACAGATAAAAACATTTGAAAAAGTGTATGCCCTTGAGAGTATTGCTGAAATATATGGACACACCATATTGAGACTTGCCTCCTATTTGTGTGTTTTCAATCCCATCGACTTGATTAGGGGAAAATTGAAACAAATCATCTTATATAATCAGAAATGATTATTGAATAACGAAATCAGTTAGCTCCCTAACTATATCATTAAAGGGGAGCTGTTGAAAGGTAGGTTGCACTATATCGTTTACTTGAACTATAACAATATTAATTACGAATAAAAATTGTAAGAAAACATAGAAAATTTCATTTCCCAACATCCCTCAATTTATATTAACAATTGTTTGTGGATTATTATATGATTCACCATCCAAGGTCGTCCTACCTAGAATTCTCGTAGTGTTTTTCTGTTCTGAATAAATGCCCAGAACTTTTGGGAGTCACCTATTAGTTTGTGTTCAATATTTTGCAAATATGCAGAGTATGCGTCACTGTTTGTTTGATATTTCTTCTGGGCCTGCAAAATTCAACTTAATAATGATTATAACCAGTGCTTTTGTACTTTTTGTGCATTTTAGCTTCCATTCTAATGAGTTCAATTAGTTCACGTCTACACCAAATCGGGTAAACATATTTGAAATATCTTGATAACGGAGTGTGAGCACTTGAAATTTCAATGCCAGTGTCAGTGCCAATCGGTATTTGAATACTTATTATACTCGTATACAGCGGAGTAATTCGCTTTTTTGAGATTGAATTATCTGTTATTGTCATTCAAATTGAAGTTGTTATATTTTGTGAAAAGACCACAGAGATCACTAGATATAGATGGCCGATAAAAATCTTCGTTAACACGTGCTACATTTTTTCGGTATACATTACATTCAATATTGCTCAATACCAAATCTAATATTTTATTGTAACCGTTCAACGTTACATATTGTTTCATATTCAAAAACGTTAATACATTTTCGATTGTGCGAGTTTTTTTGTCTTCTAAATTGTTATCAATGGAATATGCACAACTGAAATCACTCCAGAAAAATAATTTTATCCGAATTCATCAAATCCCGTATTTCATCAGTTCGGACTTCCATTGTCTAATATAATATGAATTGATTTGAAATCCCTGAAAAAAATCAAAAGATTAACCGAAAATAACAATTTTATTTAACAAGAAACTGAAATTACAAAGAAATAACATACAATAACAACCAAGCAAATAAAAATTGAAATATTGATGGAAGCTGAAAAAATTAAAAATATTAAGTAACAAAAAATGAAAAAATAAAATTAAAGATTTCAAACCAAGTTATGACACAACGTTTCGATTGTTAGTATCCACAATCGTCTTCGGGTGATAACTGGATTTATTCCTCCGAGATCTGACTATTTATAGGTCATTCG